ATTAGAAAATTTCATTACATTTACAACATACTTGGCCATGTATAGATCGTATACAGATTTCAAAGCTGGCCATAGAGAAAAGTGGAGTGGAACATCTAAAACATATCAATGCCATCAATATAAGGAGGCTGCATGTCAAGTTTCTATCAGTATCGGAATAGGCATAAGACCAGGCTTTAGTGATGGAGTTAACATGTTAAAATATAGTTGCAGTAGCAAAAGTATAATGTTTATGACTGATGCAGAGATGCCAACCCTAATTTAGCCCAATTAGTATTTTGGCCAAAAACTGATGCAAAAATTAGTACTTTGGGGCCGAAATTAGTATTAACGTTTACAAAGGATTTTCGTATTGAATAAAAAATGTAAATATATAGTCTAAGACCTTGATATTAACATTGTACTCACCAAAATCAGTATATATGTATCCACATATCTCTTGATACTGAATAAAATGTGGTTGAAATTTATTGTGTATAGTATGTACGCTATTTGATAATTTAATTTAATGTATTATTTTAAAAAATTCGTATATTTTTACTGCTATTGTAGCGTATTCTGTGTTGTTATTTCATAACGAATACGATAAAATCGTATGGGCTGGCATCTCTGCTGATGGACAAACAGAAAATACCATGATGTAATCTCCCATGAACCTGCTCGCACTTAGGGGAGATAATTCTGATCTTACCTAGGCAGCCACTCCTCCAGTGCTATCCGAGTCTGTTCAGGCTGTTTGGTGGGTTTCTTGAACCAGTGAAGACGGTTGGTGATGCGATGAACGTGTGTATCCACCCCGATCCCTGACATGACATTCCATGCACACTTCATGACAAGATGAGCCATCTTGGGACCAACCCCCGGCAGTTTACACAAGTCCTGCACAGATCCTGGGATGTCCTTCTCATACTGTGTCTTCAGGATCTCTGATGTCCTCTTGATGTACTCAACCTTTCTCTGCATACATGAACAAACATTAATATTTTGATACCAGTCTTAAACACAAGCCCTCGTGTCTTTGCGAGGATTAAAGATTTTTTTTTTTTTAGATGACTCCGGACACAAAATGCTACACAGTACAAATAAATCATGACGGACACTTCGGTGTACCCACCTGCCTGCTATCATCCATTAGTGACCAGATCGTTAGGTTGAGGGTCAAAATCGGCTTTCAATCGACTTGCAGAAATAACAATAATGAATTGGTAGGTGTCATCAGTGGTGATCGATAGGCCAATCATCCATGAATATGTTTACATTAAGTTTTAATCGATTGCATGTGGTGGTAGCGTAGCGATTGGCAAAGCAGGCAGGTGGGTTACACCGATGTGTCCGTCCTTGTCATGATTTATTGTACTGTGAAGCATTTCGAGCCGGGGTCATCTCAAATACATTTTTCCAAAATCTTTAATCCTCACAAAGACACGAGGACCTGTGGTCTTAACAGCAGTATTAATCATGCAAAACTGTTTGATTGGCACGCTAGAAGTTGGTGAGCCAATGACAAAGCATACCACTTTATGGATAACAACTTCTTGTCTGTAGACCTTTTATGTAGAATCAAAGGACAAAACGTAGCTATATGCAATAAACAAGAATTTGTTATCATTAAAGTTGTATGTTCGTTATATAAAACTGATGTCAGCCCAAACTGTCACTATATTGAAACCACTACTGATATATTATCATCCCAGAAACAGGCAAACCATTTTCAATATTTGGTCCTCCGATCCTTGTTTGTAGGCACAGTGACATACTTAATCAACCTGGGCCCAATCACAAGAACAATCTAATCTGGAGTTCAGTCTCATTAAAATCATGATCTTATTTTTCTATACTGCAAAACAAACAGTACATTGAATTATGTCAATAATATATCAAGATTGTCAATAAATAATCAATTGCAATTCTGTACCTCTCAATCATTTCAGTTGACTTCTAACGATAATAAAGTTACTGGGTACCAAAGGTAATCTACAATCTCGATGGGAGATTCCATAAGTAACTTGTTCAAAAACATTAATCTGGTGGTCAGGCTCGATTGCCACATCCAATCTTATCCCAACTGTGTAGATTGATGCTCATGATGTTGATCACTGGACTGTCTGGCCCAGACCGGTTACTTACAGACTGTTTCCATATATTTCGAATATTGCTGAGTGTAGCATTAAACAACAAACAGACAAACAAAACTAATACATTAATGTTTTATTTAGCTGCATTGTGCTGGGGTCATTTTTTCATGACAATGTATGACAAAGTATAACAATGACACATAACCAGTCAAATACACCAGTCTAAGTAAACTTAGGCTCAGTAATTTTCGTTACACTGCTATACTGAGTCTAACAAAACCTTATAGAAGGTCGCGTCAGCTAACCTTTGAGCGACCTATGACCGTCCAATCAAACGCGAGACGGCTGAACGGATTTAACCAATCAGACACCGACTACCTGTTAGGGTTTGGCGAGACTTACAAAACGGTTTTTGAATTTTCTCTTCCTTGGTCGCTGACACTGAAAATCCGCATAAAACACATATATTTGACCTGCAGTATATACGCTAATGGGTCTCTAATGACTTGGTTACTATTTGCTTATATTTTTGCAAGATGACATTCTTGAATATTGACAAAAACGCTATTTTCAGCGACTTTTTACTCATTGCGTGTATCACTCGGAAGCGATTGTGCGGAAAATAGCATTCGGAATCGTTCGAGGTTTTGAGGTAAAGGTTCAAACGGTATGTGCGAATGTTAACTTTCGCGATTTGGTAAGCTGTGTTCTCATTGGTCAGTCCAAAAGGTTAGCTGACGCGACCTTCTATAAAGTTTTGTTAGACTCAGTATAGCAGTGTAACGAATAATACTGAGCCTAAGTTTACTTAGACTGTCAAATACACAGATGGACGGACATAATCACTTTTCTGCCACTTACAACCTGCAGTGCCTGCTGGAAGTCTATCAAACAGTCCCTGCAAGGTTTAACAGATGACCTGTAAATAACACGATACGATACGTATCGTGATATTTTACCTGCAATACGATATGTATCACGATACATACACCTTGAAAGAATGACACAGCATTAAGATTTAAAATGATATATTTCAAGGTATTTGTGTGTAACAATAACCTTATTGTAATAAACAAACAAGTAACTCTATCATACTTGCATATTTTCCTCTAAATACGTACTTTAACATGTCTAAGTTAATACTGTTTTGAAAAAAAGTTGTGTATCTTTTTGTATCGATACATCAGTCGCCGATATGATAGCTGTATCAAACTTAAATGTATCGTGATGTATCAGTGAATCGTCCCAGCCCTATATCTGATGCTCTGCATACTGAGTGCTTTTCATTAGTTTGCTGCTTAAACACATCACTCAGCAATATTCCATCTGTATGATGAAGGTCTGTCAATATGGAATCAGGACCAGACATACCAGTGGTCTATATTATGAGCACCAGCAAATGCACTGGGATGAAATGACAAACAAACAACCAGCCCACCAAGTCAACTATCCAATCCAAGTGGCCTCTTATGTTAAACATACCACAATACTATAACAACTTGGAGTCCCTGTGGATATAGTACTAACAAAAAAGCCTAGCTGTAATTACCCTCCAGAAGCCAACAGGGTAGATTAGCTGTCCTAGTTTATCATCTGATGTTCCCAAAATATTGTCAATGTTGCATCCATGTTGGCGCAGTTTTGCCATTGCTGCTGATGTCACTTGGTCCTTTGTTTGACTCGACAACATCAGTGACAACAGTACTTGGTAACGGAATACCTACAACACAGGCAAAATGTTAGCGGTGTCATTGCAGTTTGGCAGAACCTTCACATACCTCATCTATAAGTACCCTCAAAATTATGGAGTCTTCTGGTCCCTTGGGCCTTGACACATGTTAGTGGTACTGGTAAACATTATACATGTAACTGTCATAGTTTTCCTAACAGGATATATATTATGATATTTACTTACATTACAGACCCATATCTGGACCGATCTGAATAGAACCCTGTCTAAAGCAAGGAATCAAGTGACAATGACTTAGATATCTGATGTCAATAAAATGTCAATTTATCTTCAACTCATCACTTTGTCATTTATTCGTGTTATTATTTTATTCTTGCCATTGACTAAAATTAGTGTACAATTATTATTATCTACTGCTGATTATCCATGCATGTACTTTAAAAATAATAATGCATGACATATATAAGTGTAGTGTATCACCTCTGGAGCAGCTCGAGTGTCACTAATGACGTCACAGCCCATGGTATCTACGGGTGCATTCCTCTTGCTCCTCATCTGATAGATGTTGCTCAGCTGATTCCTCCACTTGGGAGGCTCCCATTTCTCTCGCTTCACTTGAACCTCTCTGTTGTAACTTTTTGTCTCGTCCTTAACTGCTTCCTGCTTGACACCTGTGTTTTTATAGCTTTCATACTCAATCTTCACATGTTTTCTTTTAGATGCTAACGCGTTCAATCTTTTGAGTCCAACATGTGCAGATTTGTTTACATCTATTTCAGCTTTTATTTCAGAGTTAGTCACCTTATCTGAGGTTTTGCTTCTGCCTCGGGTAAAATATGATGATTTCGACATGATATAACATGTGCGTCTGGGAAGACATCCACCAGATAATGCAAATTTGAGAAATATTGTCATAAGAAAGATGCCCTATCTCATTTTCGTATGCATGTTTACAGTTTGGTGGAAGCACATGACTTTTCCCGCGATGCATTAAACTCTACCACACACGTGTTAAACTTAGATGGGCGTAGTTTGTGTCCTAAACGTCGATGCGCGGAGTTTACTTTTACCGTAGTTTGTTTCTATTTGTTTAGATTATTTGTCCATTGGAGTGTATTTTGTAAGATATTATTTTATACGAAAACACATTTTGATTAAATCGAAGAGTATCACACAATAAAATACGATTTTTGACATAAATGAGCATCAGGACACCCATAGACTGGGGATGAAGGTCAAGGACATTTCGTGTTGTGTACATGAGAAAGGCGAACACGACTTGGACCCGACTTTCTCGGAGTTAGCGATGAGTACTGTATCAACGGGAACAAAATGTCCTATGATTGTTGTGGCTGGCAACTCTCACACGGAACTAGCAAACTCCATTGCAAAGTAAGAATGACAAGTCTTTTAGACTACTATTTTCATGATAGCTGTAAAGCACAAAAAAGTCAGCGTGTTCTGAAATTTGGAGCCATGGATAGGATTGTAGAAGCGCTTCTTGCACCTCAAGGTTTGTGCAGCCTGAGGCAGATATGGATGATATGGCTGTACGTTTGATGGAATATATTAATATATACATAAGGAGATGCCTTACTCCTACATTCCATGAGTGAAATTATCCATAAAACCCGCCTAAATGAAGATTTGAAATTATATATGTTGTCCCTAAATTAGATAAGTGTAGCAATCATAATATTTCCGAGTCCAGTGCAGGGATTCAAAGCTCAAACTTTCTGATCCAAAGTCAGACGCCTTGTCCGCATGACCAAAGAGGTTAACCCCGTCAGCAAGCTAACAAGGTGAAGATGTCATCTATGAGATGACTCCATGCCCTGCTACATAAGCATGCACACATTTCATCTTTCATTGATCCTTGTTTAATGAATCAGATGTATCTGCTTGGAGACAACTAATGTTTACCATCTTAATTCAAATGATATACTCTTCTGTTCTTTCTGACAGCTTTTATGCTCACATGAAGTGTGATTGTGAGAAGATACCTCAGTAAAACAAACTCAGTATCTGATCAATGAAGCACCTCCGCATAGAAACATTCTGGCAGTTAGAGTATTAGCATGCTGAAATTTCAAATGTTCCCTGAGCTAATGAACCTGTGGAAAGGATAAACATTAGCCTTAAGACCTGCTACAGTACAAATATAGGTTACTTTGAATGTTAGACGTTACTTGTCTGTTTCAGACGTCTGGGCACTAGGTTGGGTGATGCTTCTGTCTACCACAAGACCAACAGAGGTATATGTTGTATAGTGTGATCATAAGCAAACATTAATGTTTTCATTTCACGTTTATTGACATTTCATAATCTGGAGCACAGAGTTTGCAACCCTTGGAATATAATTCCTTTCATCGAGTCAATATTGCAGTTGAATAGATCTATCCGAGGTTAATATTACTACTTGTATATATATATACTGCAAGTATTTATACCAGTTGTGTTGTTGGAAGATATCTTTTTTTATTCCTGTCTTATTTCTCTTTTAGTCTCAATGTGAGGTTACGAGCATATAGTTAACTAGTACCCCTTGTTTGTCATAAATGATGATGAGATAGAGATATCAGAATGGATCACTCGATTCATGTCATTGTCGATCAGATCTATGGACCATGGGTTTCACTGCAGCCTAAACCTATATATAGTGATCAGCGATAAGGCTTGACTAAAGTTCTAAGGAACCCCTTTCTCTCTCTCCTTTATTGTTGTGAAATGACTATACCTGGGCTCCGGTATTCTGCTTCAGAGACAACTGTAGAGATCAAGGAGTCTGTGCGAGGGAAGGATGTCTACATCATACAGACTGGCACAAAGTAAGTCACCCTTAATCTTGTTATGCAGAGGTACAGATAAGCTGCATATCTGCTTAAATTACGCAAATATTTATGTGAAAACTCAATTCTTGTTAAGTCTATTGCATACAAGTACGCTTGAATTTTTGTAAATACTCAATAAATTTGATATTGCATGCGTGCGCACAAAAACGTCGAATCATAGCTTGCGTACTGATGCATAGATAAAATAACAGGTATATTCAGAGGTTCTATTTCAACATATGCACTTGGCATCTTGCAGTCTTTCTTATCATTTCTCATATTGCAGATCCAATATAAATAACATTTAAACTTTATTATATACTTTGGGAAAATAATAAGGGATCACATAAAAGGACAAGTGTTCCTTTATTTTTTCCCAGGTTTCTTCGCAAACTTTGTATGGCACACTTGTGAAGAAACCTGGAAAAAAATATAGGAACACTTGTGCTTTTCATGTGATCCCTTATTTTTTTCCCAAAGTATATTTTTACAATTAATGGAAAATGGCAAAATACCAAATTGAGTTTGAGTGAGGTGGGTAGAATTTATTTGGCTACTCAAAGGAAAATTAGGATACCCAATTGAGATGGAACACAAGCGAGTACATAACTCAATGACCCAAAAAGTTATCTGGAGCTCTGTCTTATGACTCTTTGAACAGATTATTCCTATGGTTCTTGATATATTCATGAACATGATAAAATGGATAAAACATGTTATAAACAATCAAGATAACCGCTCCACCACTCTGATTGCAGGGATGTCAACAATGACATCATGGAACTGCTCATCCTCGCCTACGCCTGCAAGACCAGCTCAGCTCGCAACATCATCGGCGTTATACCGTATCTACCCTACTCCAAACAGAGTAAGATGAGGAAGAGAGGCTCTATTGTCTGCAAGCTGTTAGCCACCATGTTGGGCAGATCAGGTACACATCAACATCCTTGTTTATATCATCACTTTTCAGTGTGTTACAGACATATCCTGTATATCAGGCCTGACTCAAAATATACTGTTCACAGTGTTAAATATATTATCTTGTGTGTCATGGATAACTCATATCATCACTATTTTGTGTGGTGGAGATATATCTTGTAAATATGCCTGACACACATCATCATGTTTCAGTGTATGACAATATATATCCTGTATATCAGGTCTGACACACATCATCATGTTTCAGTGTATGACAATATATATCCTGTATATCAGGTCTGACTCATATCATCATGTTTCAGTGCATGACAATATATATCCTGTATATCAGGTCTGACACACATCATCATGTTTCAGTGTATGACAATATATATCCTGTATATCAGGTCTGACTCATATCATCATGTTTCAGTGCATGACAATATATATCCTGTATATCAGGTCTGACACACATCATCATGTTTCAGTGTATGACAATATATATCCTGTATATCAGGTCTGACACACATCATCATGTTTCAGTGTATGACAATATATATCCTGTATATCAGGTCTGACACATCATCATGTTTCAGTGTATGACAATATATATCCTGTATATCAGGTCTGACACACATCATGTTTCAGTGTATGACAATATATATCCTGTATATCAGGTCTGACACACATCATCATGTTTCAGTGTATGACAATATATATCCTGTATATCAGGTCTGACACATATCATCATGTTTCAGTGTATGACAATATATATCCTGTATATCAGGTCTGACACACATCATCATGTTTCAGTGTATGACAATATATATCCTGTATATCAGGTCTGACACACATCACATCATCATGTTTCAGTGTATGACAATATATATCCTGTATATCAGGTCTGACACACATCATGTTTCAGTGTATGACAATATATATCCTTTATATCATCGCCGACACATAATCATCGCTATATCCTGACAATATATATCATATCAGGTCTGACATCATGTCATGTTTCCCATAATTGTGTGTGACCAATGTATATCCTGACACACATCATCATGTTTCAGTGTATGACAATATATATCCTGTATATCAGGTCTGACACACATCATCATGTTTCAGTGTATGACAATATATATCCTGTATATCAGGTCTGACACACATCATCATGTTTCAGTGTATGACAATATATATCCTGTATATCAGGTCTGACTCATATCATCATGTTTCAGTGTATGACAATATATATCCTGTATATCAGGTCTGACACACGTCATCATGTTTCAGTGTATGACAATATATATCCTGTATATCAGGTCTGACACACGTCATCATGTTTCAGTGTATGACAATATATATCCTGTATATCAGGTCTGACACACATCATCATGTTTCAGTGTATGACAATATATATCCTGTATATCAGGTCTGACACACATCATGTTTCAGTGTATGACAATATATATCCTGTATATCAGGTCTGACACACGTCATCATGTTTCAGTGTATGACAATATATATCCTGTATATCAGGGTCTGACACACATCATCATGTTTCAGTGTATGACAATATATATCCTGTATATCAGGTCTGACGCATCATCTGACATCACATCATCATGTTTCAGTGTATGACAATATATATCCTGTATATCAGGTCTGTGTGTGACAATATATATCATCATCAGTTTCAGTGTATGACAATATATATCCTGTATATCAGGTCTGACACACATCATCATGTTTCAGTGTATGACAATATATATCCTGTATATCAGGTCTGACACACATCATGTTTCAGTGTATGACAATATATATCCTGTATATCAGGTCTGACACACATGTTTCATCATCATGTTTCAGTGTATGACAATATATATCCTGTATATCAGGTCTGACACACATCATCATGTTTCAGTGTATGACAATATATATCCTGTATATCAGGTCTGACACATATCATCATCATCACTATGGACCTCCACCAGAAGGAGATCCAGGCCTTCTTTGACGTCCCAGTTGACAACCTCCGAGCCTCTCCATTCCTCGTTGACTATGTTAAGGAGTTCGTGAGTAAAGAAAAATATTACCCTTGCTTTTGATTATTCAAGACTATTTCAGAAAGGTAAAAAGGGGTTTATCATAGTGATTGGTTACAGTTGATTTGATTGCACAGGGGGTGTTGGGGTAGCCTAATGGTTAAAGCGTTCACTCATCACGCCAAAGACTGCTGTTTGATTCTCTACATGGATACTATGTGTGAAGCCCATTTCTGGTGTCCCCCTGCCATTGATATTGCTGGAATATTGCTAAACTCATTAAACCAAGACGTGAAGACATGTCATTACAGCACACATCAGAACAACATTATGCAAATTTTAACTAACCAATGAAATGGCTTGCAAGTGAACTAAGGCAAGTAAAAAAATTACTTATTCAAAATAAGGCATTAGTTTCAATGCCATTTCCATTCAGGACTACACTTTGAAAACATTTGATGAAGTTCTTGATTCAGAATGTGAAATCTTAATGATGGATGAGATTGTCTTGCAAACAGACTATGAAAATTCTCATTTCAAAAGTTAATCCCAGTGATGAGAGAGAGAATATGATTTGGACCAGATCAGTAAATCATCTTCTAGAGTCCTCTTGTTTGGGATACCAGGTGATAGTGCTTTTGAGGTTGCAAGACAACACATGGCAACTGTCACTTTCCTTATGTGGTACACAATGCTCTGATTGGTGGGATTAAAGGTTGTTCAGAGGTGACCCATAGTAGCATGTTGTCAGATTTATGTGGAGGAGTAGTGAGAACTAAGATCTGGTTGTAAAGAGATGGGACACACTATGACCCTGTCAATTTTCAGGAATTTAGGAAATTAACATTGAAGGTGTCAGCCATGGTAGGTATACAGGTTGGATTTGTACCCAGCAACCTGTGTCGGTCATTAGAGGGGACCAAGTCAGGTGTCAGGTGACTCAGTTGATTGGTGACAGGGATGATCATGTGTATTCATACCCTGATACCATGGATCATTTCTCACTATAATGATTACTTGAATGTCTGGTCCAGTCTTGATTATTATCAGGCTACCATCTTGTAGATGTTATATGAGTGATGTTCTCAAACAACAAATGAACAAAGAAAGAAAGATGTCATCATGGACAGTTAAGTTAAATTTATGTGACTTTGTCAAAATTGTGTATTGATGCTGAAAATATTTATTTCTGTGGTATCTTCTGCATCAGTTTGAACAGACCGTTTTCACTTCCCACTTCAGGACATTTGGTTTGGTTACTTGTCCACCATAGCACTGGTTCAATTCATGGCTTGGTGGGGCGGTGGGGTAGCCTGGTGGTTAAAGCGTTGGCTCATCACGCCGAAGACCCGGGTTCGAATCCCCACATGGGTACAATGTGTGAAGCCCATTTCTGGTGCCCCCCGCCGTTGCTGGAATATTGCTAAAAGCGGCGTAAAACCAAACTCAGTCAGTCAGTCATGGCTTGGTACAGTGTGTTGTTTTCTTTGGTGCCATTGCTAGAATATTGATTAAAAATATTCTCTGTAATCTTTTTGATACTGATGGACTGGAAATAGAGATTGTACAGGACACCAGGTTAGGTGTTCTTCTTTCCTGGGTTGACAGATTCCCGACTACAGGAATGCTGTGATAGTTGCCCGGAACCCCAACTCAGTGAAGCGAGCGTCCTCATACGCAGAACGGCTGCGACTCAGTATTGCCGTCATCCATGGGGAGGAGAAGATTGAGGAGTTGGGATGTGATGGGAGGAACTCTCCTCCTCCCTTGCCGGAGGACGAACAGCTCCCAAGAAACCATGAGTTCGGAATAGAGACTCTGCCAAGTAAGACCTTGCAGCCTTTCTACATCAGATATTATGGGAACATATGGTTTGATTGTGTGCACTCGTCTGAGATTTGCTTATATGTCTGACTACAACACTGGAAGATATATACTGAATCATAATGATTTTGTTGTGTTGCATATTTCTGGATGTCAACTAATACCTATGTTCCAGCAATACTAGCGAAAGAGAAGCCGCCCCTGAATGTGGTGGGAGACGTCGGCGGCAGGATAGCCATCATTGTGGTGAGAATTAGGGGGTCTTCGGAGGTGATGGGGCTAGGGATCGGTTCAGTGGTTACTTCATAATCTAAGTGGGACATCCTATTTATTCCCAGATAAAACCCTTTGTATCACATTAGAGTGATCTTGCTCACCCCATTAAAAGGGATGTTTATGTTAATGGGAATTTGGGTGTGTATCATAATGTTCGCTGTATGAAACCAAGTTTCTTGAGTAACAAAAATGGAAATTCATGAGAAAAATAGTAAATGGTCTCAGACCTTTCCAAACATCACTGTGATAGCATTCCCAAAGACATAGCAAACACTTATACATGTCTCTACATTTTCAGTTAGAGGACAAATTTTAAGATTGTTGTAATGGCTACTCTGAAGGCAACAATGATACTGAGTGAGGAACATGTTTTGAAGGTGTTGGTGTGTTATGGAGGGGAGACAACTCAGTTGTGACCATGCTGATACATACTGTTATGGTTTGCAGGATGACATGATAGACGACGTGTTGTTGTTCGTGAAGACAGCTGAGGCTCTCAAGGAACGAGGAGCTTACAAGGTGTACGTTATGGCTACACATGGCCTCCTTTCATCAGATGCACCGAGACTCATTGAAGACTCTTGTATCGATGAGGTTAGTCACTTGATGTCAAATGTTTTTTTGTTCTGGAGAAAGATTATAAATCATTTGTTAGATGCATGTGGTAGCAACACATTTTTGTGTCAATTTCTGTGTCGAGAGTGATCTGTTTGTTCACACAATCTGATCAAGCAGTTATGGATGTCACAGACTCTGAATGACAAAATCTTTGTTCTTGTAAAACGTTAAAAATGTTCCTGTAATTACAAGGAAAACCAAAAAGTGAAAATGTCCAGTAACAACATAAGTCATGGTAAAATGATGACACTTCTAATTTATGTTATAAGGGTTACCCTAACTCTTGCAACAAAACTTGGCCAATGTTTGTCTGATTTGATTTCTTCAAATTTTGAACCATTTGTCATATCCTGTTTTTGATTTCATGGAAGTTGGATCAAATGTTCAGTTGAGGTTATTTTTGTGAATATAACCATTGTTATTACAGTCCAACTAGTTTTACCAAATCTTATATTATGGAAACAATGTTAGTATTCACAATCCTAGTGTCATCATATACTGATGCATATATTATAGTTCAGACAGAGCTATGTGTATAAACTTACTGATGGTTTTTTGGCCATGGATGGACATACATAAACTTTGGTGATTTAGGTAGTTTGTGTGAAATAATTATTGACGATGTGCTTTGTATGTGTTTTTACCAACTTTGTGCATAATATATAGTATAGATGAGAAAGACAGCCCCCTAGCAGCCTGTTCTCTTGGCAGTTTGACCAGGACAATAGCCAACCTGATGCAACTGTTTTTGTGTCTCTGCCCAGGTGGTTGTGACAAATACTGTACCTCATGAAGCCCAGAAGATGCAGTGTCACAAAATCAAGACAGTAGACGTCAGCGTCATGCTTGTCGAGGCCATCCGTCGGATTCACCACCGAGAGTCAATGTCCTACCTCTTCCGAAATATTGGTGTAGATGATTAACTGTGTATGAATATGAGGAATGTCTTCATTCATGATCTTGTGTTGACCTTTCTGTATCCTACAGAGGTCAGTGTTAGCTAATATGGTCTCATGCTTGAGAAAGTTTCATGATGTCTTAGAGTTATGTCCCCTGTGTGTTCAAAAATCCAATAGGTTCCTCCTAAGTTTGTGTTAATACCTGAAACAAAACTGCCTAAAAGATTTCGAAATAAGGAACGAAAAGAGGTCTTTGCAAATACAGTGATATGAAAACAATGTAGGTCATCCCTTGGTTAGAACGCAGAAAATACCAAGGGGGAGCTATCATTTCTGAGAGTGCTGTGTTACCATGGTTATATGGGTATTGAAGTGTGCCCTTAATTCTTGTGATTAAGTTCAAAAACATTTCTCGTGGTGGTAACAGGTGAAAGTTTATCTTATATTTAGGCTATGTGTGATGGAAAACAGTCTTCAAATTATTCTCAGATCTTGCGTTTTTGTCATTTAATTGCCAAACATCAGTTAGAAATATGTTTTGAATTGATAAATGTTTTTGTACCAATATATTTTGTATTGAATGACAGATTTATTTACCATTCATATTTTATGTCAATGACATTTCATAATTAAAGTTTGTAAATTGTCTCTATTTTCTCAACATGACTGTCTTTTAGTTTGGACTTTGATATCCACACTTAAGTGAGCCTTATGATGATGAAATATTTTTTTATCTGACCTGACACTCATATGCTTCTGCATAATGTATTTTGATAGGTGATACACCAGTGATAGTTTGAGCCAGTGGAATATAATTTCCATACAAGTTCGTGTAGAATGGTGCAAACATTTTAGGCGCACGGAGTTGTGTCCTTTGGACACACCAGAGACCTATGATTGTGGGTGCAGATCTCTCTTTAACATTTTATTTTTGTAGGTTTTTCCACACCATAGCCATTCTCCTAGCATCATTAGAATGGTAAATGTCTGAGACTGGCATCACTTCAGGCTTTTCTCTCACATTCAGGTTACATGCATCGATATAAGTATAATATTGGTCAAAGTGGCGTTAAACCAAACTCACACCCAGTATCTGTTAATGATGGCACTTTACCAAGTGATGTAGGTTGTTTTAGCTGGGACATTTTGTTGATTCAGTGTGATCAGATATTGAAATGGTTAAAGATTGTTAATTTGTTTCGTTTGTGCATGTCTGCTGGTAAATATTGCTGTATATGTTCCGCATCTCTGATTTTGTCAACCCTTTGACAGGTAAGTGGCATAGTCAAGACTTTCTTTTTAATTGTTTCATACGCCTAGAAGAATCATAAAAACAGATTCTTCACTGAATGTTTAAAATGTGCATATGTTTGAAATACTGTGTGTGTGGAATCCATATACAAGTTATTGTCCTATATATAAGACACGGTGGGCAAACATTCTCCTGTATCAATTATTGCCCCGTCTGTGACAGCTGCTCACCCAACAGGTTTTTTAATTTAGGCCACATGGTACAACAATGTCTTCTTAGCCATACTGCATTTATCTAGAACATGCCCAGCATTTCAGTTCATCTTCAGGTGGTGGTTGGCAGGAACAAGATGTTTTCCCTCAAAGATCTTTTATGCAAATTCAATTTCATTAGATTCAAAGGATGATGGTAGCAATGATATAGTTGGTAAATGATATTCAAGGTAAGCTCATAATCAAAACATGTATGATGCATTCAAATAAAACAGGTTAATGAATGTGTTTGATTTCCACCAATGCTTCCTATATTTTCCTTTTTCTTGCAAATGATTGACAGTAAATTAGGTTTTGATTCAGGTTTTTGAATATGACTCAGTAGGAAAACTTGACATAAAACAGTTTAATGTTACATGTTGTGTATGAATGAGTCGGAGCTGCCCCCAGCCTATGACTAATGTAGGTAATACTGTCTTAAGCAACAGTACTTCTCAATGTTTTCTTGTCATATCTTACATCAGGAAGTAGTTAGAATCCTAGAATTGTCTGTTATTTTGTTGTCATTGATTCACAAGTAAATTTTCAATCATATATATTTGAAACTTGCTGAGTATTGTATATGGTTTGGATGAGTTGATGTTTCACAACTTGACTGTGAGTGTAATGGAGAAGGTGGTCCGAAGATGCAGCTGGAATCCTGGTTTGCTGGAATTATAGTTTCAAGGTTTGTTTGCACTATACCTGAGCTCGTGGATCTCACAAGGTTCGGTACCTGTATTGCCGCCTTCTTTCCTCCTGGATTCAAACTGACACTCGGTGATATGACTGGAATACTGTTCACAGAAGAGTTAAACCCATGTCGGTCTGTTGCTGGTGTTATCATGAAGTGTTACAATCTCAGCATTTCTTATTGTTTGTGTAATGTGCTCTTGTATACATTCATTGTATCTCGGAACCTTCTGTAAGTCAGCATGTGTTTATCGTCCAAAGGTTATCAAACACCCATTGATCACATTTTGTCACCTAAGCGGTTTTGGTCAACTAAAGCGTATCAGTGTGAGGTGGAACATCTTGTGTATGTTGTGTGTTTTATCACCTACACATGGGGCCCAGCGTGGCTGTTGTAGATATGTCATGATACGGCCATGTTGACTGGAACCAGCCCTGACCAATTCCTAATAAAGGTAGATATATTCCCGAGTCAGTCGTGTCCATTGATTACATGCTGCTGTAGAATCGAATGGAAAGATGCTGTATGGCAGCTGAAGATAAGTACAAAGTGATTTATTTACAGCAGCATGAAATACATTCGTGAACATCGAACTTGGAAGCAGAAACAAAAACCGTGTGTACACAATTATGAACAATTATTGAACAAGGGGGGGGATGTTTGAGACCTTGGCCTGAAGGGTCTTCATTAATAGATTAGTAATTAATATTGATCTCACTGACCAAGACCGTAGTCAGCTGTTCTAAAACAAATAGTATATTTATGTATTCGGTCGACAAAATGACCTGAGGATAGATAGGCTATCACTTGCTAATTGTCTGCATACACCAAGAACATGCATCTCCGCTCCAACAATATGCTACTCCTTTGGCACAAGAGAATGTTATCTGAACTTACTGATTCTGACATGTTCCATTGTGTGGAAAGAATATGAAACTCTGGTGGATGTCCGCAGCGATTCTGAGGTGCAAATCGATCGTCGAACTTGGGTATAAGGGCGAAAGACAAATTGACTGATGAGTTAGTGACATTTTTAAACGTCACCAATTTGAAACACGAGTGGAATACCTGCCAGAACAGTTTCAGTGGGACCTTATGAACGTCAGCTGAAGATGGCTTCGAACACTGATATCATCGACCGATTGTTATCAGGCCGATAACGTGTGAAGATAAAACACAATTATTAATAGTGTATCACATATACTGCAAGATGAAAAACTGGATTGAGCATTTGCATAGTGTGAATGTAAAATTTCTATAATTAGCCATTTTGCATACAAGAAGCAGAATAACACAATTTACTGACCATGACAACCGTTTTCACCTAATGTGATTGATTCCGACATGAAAGTACTGGCATAGCTGTAAACAGCGTTCATATTCTTCAAACTGGAACAATGCAGGATGCGTTCAACGTATTGACCAGGTGTCGATCTGCGTAGGAGAGCACACCCTATTCAAGGGAATCCACATCATGTGACCAGTTTATTCACCGGCTCGTTATCTGCAGCATTCAGGCTCCGCGTCTAGCTGTGTAAGACCAAAAAGCACGTCACACGCAGCGTCCAGGTGAGTGAGCTCCAAACTGCAGCAGTCCGAAAGATGTCTAGATGTATGAGCCGCAAACTAACGGAGTGAGCACAAACTAGTCATGCTTGGCATCTAGCTCTGTGAGCCCCAAACTGCCGCAGCCCGAAAGATGTCAAGATGTCTAGCTGTCCGGCTTAGTGTGCAGCTCGTCTTTCAGGATGGTAGCTCCCAGAACAGTAACCTCCATGTTGCCGGAGCCTGGTATGCCTAGGGACGACTTGCTACTGACAGTCGGTCTCACCTGTGTGATTGGGGATTGCTGAAATATTAGAGAGGAAACATCGCGTCAGGGGAGATTTGTTGAAGTGGGCAGTATTCTGTTTGAAGCAGCGTAAAACCACACCCAACAAAACAAAGAAGATTTTGAAACCAGCAAAAGCGATACCAAGAAGCCAAAAACGTACCTTCCTCTTTGAAAACCTATTCCAGAAGTGCTCCAGTACCAGGACAAGCAATCCAGAAAGCATACCAACAACCACCACAATGAAGCTTCCAGTGAGAGACTCCAGGTCAAGGCCCTGGTCGGTGGAGCTCTCTGGACAGTTCAGTTTGCCCTCATCCCACCAGCGTCTCTTGAACGCCTCCAGCTGACGCTTCTTCTGAAGCTCCAGGATGCTATATATAAGAACAACATGTCAGCTTCTTAACGCTTCATATTTTACGAATATATACTACCCATCAAAAGTTTAGATTCGCTTAAAGCACTCACTACATGTTATGTATGTATATATGGTTACATCGAAAATGAATTTCCCCACTAATTGGGGGAACCAACTGCAAACCTTATGTCGATGAATTGCACGAGGATCATGCATCAAATTGCTAAAGAGCATGTGCTAAAATCGTGCATGTGAACAGCTGTGTTTTGCTGTAAAGGTTTGTTAAGAATTCGCCAATTTTCACTGAGTTCCATCATTTATTGAACTCATGATGATAATCTTTTCAACGTTACGAATTTGGTTTACAATACATCAGTTCATGTGTAAACAGTACCTTTACAGTATGGAATATGTTTGGCAAAATCTGTTTTGAACAGTTGACTGAAGTAAGTGGCTACATTTACACTGGTGAGTCTAAACTTTTGATGGGTAGTATATTTCACAATACAATATGTAGCATTAACATGTTCGTTTGGGTAGGACGAATAATGTACTTTCCTACGCCTCAGTTTTTGCTACATGTCATCTGTGGGCCGGGTGAATGGGGGAGGTATTTGTCTGAATAACGATGGTGTCTCCACCAACATTGTAATGTCACAAACATGCCACCATGTACGTATTTTCAAATTTGAAATGTCACATATAGGCGATTGTTCTATATCGGAAAACCCAGTCGTATGATGTGGCATTCTGAAGACAAGATGTACTACAAACAAAAAGTATGGGAACACTCTAAAATTTGATAGTCATATGTAAACATAAACGTGGTGAGGTCATTTATACTCTTAGGTAAATGAATTTTTTTCCGTGCTTAATGGGCATTTTAAAAGACATTTTGGAACACGCAGTGAAGCAACTGATTAAATATTTGTTGAGTTTGAGTGAAATGAAACACTGTTAAAAACAGCGAAAAAGATGGGAGCTGAAACACACCAACGCCATGTTTGATTCAAACGCCGAAACACAACAGCCTAGTGCATGTGGAAGACAGACTGTTTCTGTTTTTAAAAAATGCCCCTTGAAAGACGCCAAAGTCATTCTACAATCAATAAAAATTCTGCAGCTTGTGAAAATTTTGTTTGCAGAGTGTGAATATTCAGTGTAGGTCCTTACGCTGACGATATTTTCTTGGTGTACACAGACTTTTCCTTGAGAGCGAACGCATAGGGCCTGACGCTGAACATGTCCCCTACCGCAGCCAATTCACAGTTCCTGTTGGTGAGGTACTTGATGATTGGTGAGTCTGTAATGAAGGCGACGTTATCATTCAACACACTGTTGACAGCGTGGTCGGTGGAGTTGAAGAGTCCAGTGCCTTCCATGTGCTTCCAGATATTGACGTACTTATCCCCGAGTGGGTAGTCCCATACCGCCAAGCTGGAAGGAGATGAGAGATGCCATATAAAACAACGTGAAGCACTAGGTAGGACATACCTTAAACCTGAAGCACTAGGTAGGACAGCCCTTAAACCTGAAGCACTAGGTAGGACAGACCTTAAACCTGAAGTACTAGGTAGGACAGACCTTAAACCTGAAGCACTAGGTAGGACAGACCTTAAACCTGAAGCACTAGGTAGGACAGACCTTAAACCTGAAGCACTAGGTAGGACAGCCCATAAACCTGCAGTACTAGGGTAGGACAGACCTTAAACCTGAAGCACTAGGTAGGGAGACCTTAAACCTGCAGACCTTTAAACCTGAAGTACTAGGTAGGACAGACCTTAAAAAGCACTAGGTGAAGCACTAGGTAGGACAGACCATAAACCTGAAGCACTAGGTAGGACAGACCTTAAACCTGCAGTACTAGGTAGGACAGCCCTTAAACCTGAAGTACTAGGTAGGACAGACCTTAAACCTGAAGTACTAGGTAGGACAGACCTTAAACCTGAAGTACTGGGTAGGGCAGGCTATCAACGTACAGTACTAGACCATGCATACCAGTGAAGTCTAGACAGGACAGACCAGAAATGTGGCGTACTGGATACGGCAGAATATCAACGTAAATTATTAGATAGGACATAGAACAGGTATCGTACTAGGTCGTAGGTCCGACCTACATCCTGAAGACCTACATAGGACAGGCCGTCACAGTGACGAACTAGAGGGGGCTAACCAACGAAATGAAAAAAGTTGAGTTTGTACTGTAGCAGCCTTTTCAGAGTAACCCTTGCGAAAACCAATGGTTCAAAGAGTGTCACGTAAATCCGTGTGGAATCAGAGACACAATTGCCCATTAAGCCCGATGCTTATCCTATGAGGCTATTCGTGTTTTCTGAACTGATAAGAACATGTAATAAACAAGTTGAACCCAAAAAGTATCAGTAGGTTAACACAGAATGTGAGCTGGCGATTGAATTTACCTCCCGATATGCTTTAGGGGCAAAGCAAAGTTAAATACGCTCATTCTAAACACTTGGTCAATTCCTATCTTACTATTTGTGTTGCAATCAGTGGGTGATCGAGACTGGTTATTCTCTGACGTTGGTGTTCACATATTCACCTGTTGTTCCCACCGCCCATGCTCATGTCCTTCCAGATGGTGTAGAAGCTCTCCTCAATGGCAGCCATTCTCTTGAAGTAGGTCATCACTGAGGAATCGGCGACCACGGAGTACCTGATATCGGACTGCGAGGCGAGCTCCGTCATGGAGCTGATGGCGACGCCCATGCGGGACACGGTGAGGAAAGCGGCCAGGTTGGCGGTGAACGTGGACATCATGATGATAGAGAAGAACCAGAATCCAGCGACCAGGAGGCGTGCGGAAAAGCTTTTAGGAGGAACGCCTGCCCCTGGAGCGGAAGGGAAAAACAATCAGATATACTTCAGGACACCCAATTAGCATACCATTTAATATAAAAAACCTTGTACTCCCACCAGCCCTAGTGTTTATAACGTTGCTCGCATCGTAAAACCAGCCACCCAGCCTAGACATAAACCTGGATAGAAAAGTCCAAGTATTTCTGAAGAGTTTGCTGTAAATGGTGCTTCAGGTACGTAACTTCCGGTTCAAGGGACCGTTGTGGTATTGGTATTACAGATGTGCTCCAGGTACCTTTCCGTGTACTGAAATGTACCCTCACTAAATTCTTAGAATACAAATGCATCATATTTGATCAAAGAATGATTCGCACAACAAAGGCAAAACCGAAAGAAAGACGTTTCTTATTATGTATAAGAGACTCGCCCAGGATCAATAGTTTTGTACTGAGATATTGTTCAGATTTCAACGCCCCTCAGCCCAATTGGAGATAACTAGCAAGAAGTGAGGGGTCACAGTGTGTGAACTGACTGATTATGTGTTATCATACCTCGACAGAATCAACTGGCTTTACAGAGTTGCATCCCTTTGGCTGAGACGCTCGTGCATTATATAAACCGGTTTGTACTGAATGGTTTCTGAGTGGCTTCACCAACGTGGTAAATCAATCTGACCCCTATGATATATCAGAAATACTGTTCAAATCGGCGTTAAGACAAATCAACAGGGATGCATTCGCAGAAACAACGGGGCCCAGGACCTTCAAGTATCCCACAGCTAACTAACCGGACATGGTGAGAGATCCCATCACGAACCAGATGCTCTCCTTCAAATCGAAAGCCTTTTTGTCGACCACCTCTCCTTCCACAGTCGAGTCCTTCGCCCTAGTGGGCGTGTAGCGGTCAAACAACAGTAGCATGATGCTGGTCACTGCGATGACCACGCCCAGACACAGCCAGGCCAGAGGAGTGAAGACGTCGGCGAAGTAGAACAAACTGATTTGCCGATTTTGTTTCTTCATGACGATCTGTATACCTGCGAAGTCGTAGTAGGGGAGGGTGAAGTCCACCACGTCTTCTCTGTCTGCCGTCACTGTCAGAGCGCCTGCTATGATGTCAGAGTCCTAGGGAGATATTTTACCAGTGGAATGTATGCTTGTTTGTTTTATTCTTTCACGCCGCAATACTCTCTGTAAACTACCAGCGTCAATTTAAAATCACCGAACAGGTGGAATGATTGCAGTAACGATAATGTCATGAGGGTATTCAATAGGCTATGAAGAATTAATCAGTACATCTATTTCATTTCAAATTATCAAAGAATTGCATATGTCTGCTTTTTCTTCAGTCATTACGAAAGCTGGACATAGAACAATATGGAAGCAAAGTAAGTGAGATCATTTAAATATTAAATTAAAGAAAGATGGTGGGGAAGTATCTTTTGGTAGACAGTGCTTTTTTATTATTACGTATTAAATGTAATGATCAAACAGCCTAGCGCCGTATTATGACATTTAATGTAGTAACATTTAGGAAATGTGCTGCTGATAACTTTAATCATCTCAGATCTGGTTTTGGTGGAGGTGGAACACCTTTGCTTTCACATGATGTCATATTATTTTTATCAATGTCGGTAATATATCAGTAGTAACATTTCATAACCATTGCTTCAATGTTATAGTTCTTCATGTTCTTCTCAATCTGTTTCTCACTGACGATTGTAATGTTGACGGAGGACTACAACCATACCCCTTCAACGATGTTCCTGATGCAGCCGGTCCATATGCTGTTTGAGTCCATGTTACCATAGTGACCGTCATAGCATTCCTTCACGGTGTAGGTAAAGCCGATGATTTTGGAAATGGCATCAAGCACATCAATACTGTAGCCAGAATAGTCTCCCGTTGAGTTGCGGATTACAAACGGAGGTTCCTTTAAAATATGAATTATCATATATTAAAATAAATGTATTTAGATACTTTCTTTCATAAGACCGTAGCGTACAACATTCACTATATTGTTTTCACTCATTTTGAAGTAGAGACGGGTATATATGAAGTTTAGATTTTCACTTATATTAACTTATTAAGTGGCAGGTCACGTTGCGACCATGATATGAGGTGGTGGAACACAGGCCCTCGTGTTTTTGCTAGGATTAAATAGTAGTGGTGGGAATTGGTTAAAATCTCATAATTGATGATTGGTTCATTACAACCGATCAATCATCGAAAATAATTGGTTAGCGTCATTTATGAAATGTGTTAATGCACACAAAAAATAAGGAAAAAACATGTAGTTCTTTGGGGTTTTTGGGCAAAATTTCACATCTTTAAAGGATGACTAGTATGGAGGAACATACATTCTTCAAGATAAATTCAATAATGACTTGGAACGAACTTGTAGTGCTTATGAAATGTAACAGACAAAACCAACCTAGTGAAAATACTGTTAATGAAAATAAGTGTTCTAGAAATTGTTTGTGTTCGATTATGAGAAAACATGATCGATTGCTTGGTCGTTTAGTCACTGCGACCAATCTTCGATTATTTCAATTAATCGGACCACCACTACTTCACAGTACAATACATAATGACAAGGCCGGACACTTCGGTGCACCCTACCCGCCTGCTTTGCCGATCGCTATGCCACCATCGCATGCAATCGTTTAAAACGTAATGTAAACATATTCATGGATGATTGGCCTATCGAGCCCCACTCATGACACCTATCAATTCTTTATTGTTATTTCTGCAAGTCGATTGAAACCCGATTTTGACTCTCAACTAAACGATCTTGACACAAATGGATGACGATGTCCGCACAAACGGGTGTGTGGTCAAAGCAAGCCCTCTGGTTGGTTGATTCTTGTTCAGGAGACATTTACAACTTATGCATTCTTTTGAGAAGCCATTGCTCGAAATATATTCTTACATTAAGCAGTCGATGAAAGAAAAGAAATCCCGCGAATTTATAAAGAATTGCAGATTTGCAAGGGTTGACCAATCAGAGGGCTTGCTTCGACCACATCCCGTTTTGTGCGGACATATCGTCATCCATTTGTGTCAAGATCGTTTAGTTGAGAGTCAAAATCGGGTTTCAATCGACTTGCAGAAAAAACAATAAAGAATTGTCAAAATCGGGTTTCAATCGATTGGTAGGTTTCATCATAGGTGATCGATAGGCCAATCATCCATGATTATGTTCACATTAAGTTTTAATCGATTACATGCGATGGTAGCGTAGCGATCGGCAAAGCAAGCGGGTGGGGTATACAGACAGACAGACAGACAGTTTATTTACATGAGAAAAGTACAATATAAATTCGCATATGATAATATAATCAATCAAGATGACAGCAATATAAGGTAAATACATATATATAGTGAAATTTTCAATGAAATATGGCAAAGTAAGTTAGCAATATTCTCATGCAGCTGCAACTAGTCTGAAGATGATGTTGATGAATTTAGACAGGTCTTTCACACTTTTTACTCTGGTGCTAGATAAACATTTTTTTAGCTTGAACATATTAGGCCATTCGTAGAGATCTTTACGTATGTGTATAGACCGCGGCTGGAGAAGGGCTTCACACCTGAACAGGTAGTGGAACTCATCACCAACCGCCGGGGAATTACATAGATGGCACAAACGTTCCACTCTTGGGGTATCAGACCAGCGTCCAGTTTCAACTGGTAAGTTGTGATTTGTTGTTCTAAATTTCAAGATTGGGTAATAGACGTGTTTTGGTAGATAAAGGTATTTTTCAAAACTTATATTTTCTTTGAACATTTTATAGTACACACCTTTCGGGCTTTCAATAATGGAACTATGCCAGTTCTGCAGGAACTGGTCTTTCAATATTTCTTCAACTTTTGAAGCTAACCACCGTGAAGAACACATAAACGGATTGTCAAATATATCACCTAATCCACAGTTATTTAATACCGAAGTGTCCGGCCTTGTCATAAGGTGTTGTACTGTGTAGCATTTCGAGTCGGGGGTCATCTCAAAACACTAAAAAATAAAATAATCTTGAATCTTCGCAAAGACACGAGGGCCTGTGTGGTGGAGGGGGTTACCGAGGAATGATCTTCCCTCAGTATTCTTATCCAGGAACGTCGGTGTGTTAGTCACGGGAACTCTTAAACCGATACACTATCCTATATCATTGGGTGCATGAGGTCATGTGCGACAGGTGAGAGCAGGGTAGTGACAGAACATTTTCGAGACGTTTATACCGTACCACAACAGCCGCTACCCTGAGGACCACGCCCTTGACACCATTGACAAACAGCTGTTCTGTCGACTCCACCCCACCGCTTTGACTCCACGTGGCCACCTGTGCACAGAGGAGACACGTCAATGTGGCCACATGTACAAGTGTATCAGATCATACGATATCAAAACATGGTGAAACCAACGTGCATAAAACTTAAATATTAGACACTTATTTCATCTGTTCTTCAGGTGAACTATCCTTCGTCAAATTATGTCTGTCAACAAGGCCTGCATCAGCTTATTGTTGGCCCTCGGTAGATCTCTGACCACGAAAGTGTTGATGTTTAATGAAACGTGAACACAAGTTTAGTCAAAGGTGGAGCTCGCATCTTCATTCTCAAAAACTGCTGAAAACTGAACATAGTCCTGATGGATGACAGCAAGTGTACCTTGACGTTTCACGTTGATAGACTCGGTAAAGAATCAACAATATACATTATGCCTTTGCTGTTTTAAACGGAGTGGTCATTCTTTTCTTCAGGAGCTGGTTACTGAGAAACCCTCTCTGTCGTAATTATGGATCCAGACCTAATCAATAATAACCTGAAATATAAATTCTTAGCGTTCCTGTTATACCTGGTCATCGCGACATTAGGGGCGGTGATCCGCCAAGCCTTCATGTCATACAATAGCATTCTATGAACCTGTTGGGCGCACAAACCTTTGACGTGTGTGGTTAATCATGAAATATTCTTTGGATTGAAGCACGTCCTTTCAAAAATCGACTCACAAACATATATTAATGATAAGATGTTTCACACGATAGATTTCCAACAACCTATATATGCCGGATTCATAAGGTTCAAATTCCCACTTGTATATTCCAGTGTAACTGTACACAAAGATGACAGAATGATTACGGTTCTATGGTATCTACATGTCGTCGTCAGGTATACCTACAATATATTATCTACTTTCTGACATAGTATACTCTTTCATGGCACCGCTATATTGACCAAGGGGTCATTGGGATTGTTTTGTCTCATCCTTGTGGACATGTCTCGTGTTTGTAGAATGTAATTAAGAAAATCGGTTTTATTGACCTGAGAGAGGCTTCTTGTGTCGTTGCCGGTGTATTTACACAGTGTAAACTTCACTTCACTGTTAGTGGCATCTTCTTGTCCAAATACCCGAGTGTCATTCTCTATAACCTAGAAAACATGCAAAGTAAGTTCTATTTCAGCCATTTGTATTTATGTGTTTATTGATGTTCATGAAATGTCTGATAAGAATTAACGGTGTTAACTTGTATATTTAATTATGGATGATATTTTGTTATGACTTGAGGTCTGCACCTTGTTCAGCGACCTGTCGAACAGAGATCTGCAGGAATTACATGATGAGGAGCAGGCACACACTGGGTCCGACGTCGCAGCTATGACGTCATGCATCTCCTGAATGACGTCAGCCGTGAAACCAATGAGCCGCTCTTCGTTGTCCATGGTTGCCTGTAATGCAGAGCTCAGTAAACATGCAGATAAACACGTGACACGTCTGCCGAACTGGAACGCAACAAATTCCAGACAAACGCAACAGAAGTATTCACTTGGAAGCTGTGGTGCGTGACGTGATCTCATTATCAGATCCGTATACTGTAGTTTATACGGTGTTTGAAACTGAACCAAAGTTTCAGTTTAATTCATGATTAATACAACTAAAGTATTCCCAGCTCAGCTAGATTTGTTTGCCAAACGGTCCAAGCCAAGTGTCTATTTATTGTCTTCATCCTGAAGCAAGGGAGATAGGTTTTCACCATTATCGAACCAGGCTGGAATAATGGAAGTCTACTTTGGCTAGACTAACGTGGAGATGCATAATGCAATCAAAATCGCGCAATGACATCGACATCCGGTTCGTCAATAACATGGCGGCCCTCATGGAGATGTCGGTCGATTGCAGACTTTGCAGAGCTTGTGTACTGTCAGCTGGGTGTAGGCAGATATTTTCCAAATCTTTTCAGGCTTTTATTCATGGTGCTCAAATGATCTGATGCACTTGATAAGATAAGGCCTGTTTTATTGTGATAACGTTCTTGATTATCTATGAGATCGTCTTGATTGGCCTCCACCATGGTATTGTGTAAGTGCATGTGATGTTAAACGTGGGCTCTGACTGGTCAGTTGGAAGCACGTAGAAGGGACAGCATTCAGCATAGCTACCGCGTGTGGTGGCGCTACCATCGAACCATACAATTCAGCTTGGCAGTGATGGAGACTGGACTATTACAGTCAGTTAACTCCCTTGGAGGATGGTTAAATATATTATTAAGTACACAACAGTTGGCCAAAGACATGCTGTTTTGTATGTTAGTATTAGGACTGTTATTACTCCAAAAGGTAGAGCATGACTTGGTTCTGTGGAACGGCATGCTGGTAACACTTACCGTGCTGTGGAGGTCTTTGATGACGAGGATGCTGTGGTCGTAGCTCTTGTCACAGCAAGGTGTGATACCGTCGGTGGTGTGCAGCAGCCAGTGGTAGCGCCCAGACAACATGTTCAGCCGATGTGCCTACAAAGACATCTCCAACCTCACTATACAATGTGTGACGGGGATGTGTACAATGTGAACACATACAAAAACAAAAGTGTTCAGGAATGTGTTGACATCCTTATGTACATTTGGAGCGTTTTATCTAAACACGTTTAGGGCCAACACTTGAAAACGAATAATCGTCTCACAATCTATACACCACCTGAATGCAACATCTTCAAGACCCAAACGTGTAGAATGATATACTGAGTATTCCTAACATTTAAACTCAATCCTAACCATGCTAACTGCGTCAAACTTGTGAGACATGGTACTCGCTTAGCAGCAGAACTAGTCATGCAGCACTTAAATAACTTGCAGAACTTAAGTATGTATGGCGACGGTTGTGTTCAACATCTTAGTAAGTCGGTTGATTTTACAGCGGTGTGATTTCCGGAGCTAAAAACTCTGGTTTATTAGAAAAGAGGACTCTTCACAACATTACTGAATTGTAGAATAGCGATCATTGAAAATGTATATTCTCTGTCACTATCTTCTGTAAACTGATTTTGCTCTGAATTAGAAAATCCCACTGACGTGTCTAAGCATATCTTCTATAGACCCCGATGTTCCCATCAGAAACACGTATCGGACGTCGGTTTTCACAGTCAGGTTAGCAAGCACTTCCGGTATGTTGTCATGTGGCATGGGCAGCTCGAGGTGGAACAGGAAATGGTTGACTTTGCGCAGACTGATCTGTTCATGGTACTCTGTAAGAAACTGAGACTTTAAGACCAAACCAGAGAATTAGCTGCCGATACCATATCCCCTTGTCTACAGCTTGGGCGTTTGGAAAGTGTACCAACGTACGCTGGCGGAAAATCAGCATGTCAACAATTTTGTCATACAAATCAACAAGTATTTTTACAACCAACAAGTATTTTCCTTTTACATCTTTTCAAAATGTATACTTATTCATCGAAATGAACCTCTCTCAGATTCCACAATCAGGAGCCAATGGTTAATTCTGACGAAAATATGTTTACATATTTGGATTTATGGAATTAAGTTACTTCAGGTGATATGACAAAACCACTATTACGACGAAGTGCGACAGTGATGTCACTGAATGTACATACCTTTTCCCGATTCATCATACAAGAAGGCGACAGAGTCACTCGGGGAATGTGTGTAGTTCGCCACATCTGCCACGATGTCGCGGTAGTCAAACGGTGTCGTGTGCACTTGGAAAACAGACGTGTCATTCTCCGCTCCGCACGACCCCGGGTGGAGGGTTATATAGGCCAGGAGGTTCTCGTGGAAGAGGTTCAACGGACAGGACTTTGTCCGAGTGTCCAAAAACAACCAGCCAGCCCGACAGACTGGGGTATTCTGACAACAGAGGTGGGGACATCAACAGACATATTTGCAGAGGGATTACGAGATAATAATGTTGTAAAGTCATAAGCTGGACAAAAAAGGATTGTATTATCCCTATACATTTTTCCTTTGTCCTTTATCATTTCGAACTGAATTTGTGAGAATAAAAAAAGTTTGTTTTGGGCGACAGTATTACAGAATTAAGAAGCCTGAGGAAAGCAAATAATATATTGCTGAACTATGCGTGGATGGTTCCACTCCTGGAGGCACATTGTGTGTCATGAGTCTTCGAATTCGCTGAAGAATCTGGAACAAGTGTACACGTACCTGTCGCCCAAAAGTTAAAAATGTCGACATCGTCCACGATGCGGGTGGTTGTAAAAGGGGAAATGATGTCGTGAAGTGTTGTCGGTGGAGCTGCTGCTGCCTCATTTTGCTCACGGATCACAACTACAGAGCAACATGTAAACATGAAATGATATTTGTGTTTGTTAATAATCAGGGCACCAACCCATTGGATAACTCTCGTTAACAAAACATACTGAAATCCACTAGAAACGAATTACCGGAATAAATAGAGATTATTTCTCTTATAAATGGAGAAAAGAATTTGTCCCTACTGACATTGAAATTGTCTGGCAAAAGCAGTCATTCATCATTTATAATTAGTGCAACACTTTATAAACGATGAAAATTACGAGGATCAAACCGAAATTTCACATGCACGCCAAACTTCCACACAGTCCATGTTAGTAATGGGTATGGACATCATTTTCGTCGAGCACAGCTACACATCTTCGTCACTCTCCTGCTAAGCAAGTTCTAACTCATGGACGTTATTCGAGGGGAAGAGTCATGCTGTGTCTAGCAGTATGGGGTCGTTTATTATCCTGTTGCAAAATGTAAAGAAGTTGATCTGCCGTCATGTGGATAACAACTATTGTTCTCGGTACCTCCGCTGTATACGTTTGAACTGTAACTCGACATATGTGTAGAGGTGTCCTGCCATGAACACTAACCTCTCCCCAATTCATAACGGTGTCATCTACTGAACTCGACAATCGGCGTTACATTCTCCACGTCGACACCAGAGTCTGTTCCTTTCATCCTCATGTCTGAGATGAAATCTGGACTCGTCAGAAGAGAACACCTATCAGCCGTCTAAGGATTCAACGCCGATATTCCCGTGAAGATCTGGCTTAGAATTGGTTTTCAGCAACACATGCTTGCCGTAAGAAGGGACTACGGGGATCGAGAGGTCAGGCTCGCTGACTTGGATGACACATGTTATCGTATCCAAATTGCGCAGATCGATGCTCATGATTATGATGACTTGATTGTCTGGTCCAAACTCGATTATTTACACACCGCCGATATAGCTGGAATATTGCTTAGGGCGGCGTTAAAAACAAACTCTGGGTCGGTATCGGACCAATATGGGGTCTGCAGGCACACAGTCTTCGCTGATGTAATGGCCGTGATAGCGTCTCGGGACTGATGATACCCCTTGGTCCACGAATGGGAGTGGACGCTCAGGGCCCCGTTCCTCAAAGCGATCGTAGCGCTACGACAGTCGTAAGTCTATGTTAAGGTATGGAAGTTACGACTGTCGTAGCGCTACGTTCGCTTAGAGGAACGGGGCCCTGGACGCTGGTGTGAACCTGTGTGAGGACGATCGTGAGGTTGAATGTGTTGTGAAACCGCTACGCGCTTTGCATTTTCACGAGATTTAAACATGAAAAGGGGATTTTCAGCAAATGGTGGGTCACGTGATCACACAGGGACGCACGTGCTTCTTTGATGTGCCTTACCTTTTTCAGTAAATAGTAATTTAGCACAGTTTGGATTTGCATTTTTCATGATCAATGATAATAGGGTGATGTGTTTTTAATGGGTTTCAGTATGTTTGCATGAAACATGTATTTTATTCTACATGGTATTCGTTTATTATACATTAATAAATAAAATGCACACACACACGCGCATCGCTCGTCCAAGCATTCACTATTATAAAGCACAAACTCGGCTATTAACTCACGAACAGTGACGTTGAATGCCTGTGATGTAGAGGCCCACACAAAGACGGCAAAAGCAGCTTGATATATCCACGACATCGCCAGCCCAAGTCAGTGACCTAAGTTCTGAAAATTGAACACCCTACTTACATACATTACCAACATATTGACAACTTATGAATTTCATACTACGTGCAGTTAGTAAGTTAAGGAACGCATGATTTCCCCCATAAGACTAGGCCTATAATCAAACAATGACATCATGACAACGAGTTTTCCTGTCTTTAAGCATCTGTTTGGGAGCCTGCAGCTGCTAGGCAGACACACAGCACTCAACACCATGACAGTTCTGGACTACCTGCTGTATGTTAGTTACAAGTATGCAGTGTCAACATACAGCGGTGTGCCAAAAGTTTATGAACATATCCCAAATAGTGAGAATCATGAAATTTAACGGTTCATTTAAAATACAAATTCCGTATGACACAGGCGACGTACGGTCGTGAAATTCAACAGGATACCCTGTTCTTTCAGCACGTGACGTTTTGTGTCGTCTGCTTGTTTACGCAGGCGACTTCCGGTAGCATGGGAAAAAAGAGAATTGTCACAATCTGTTAAAGATTTGATTACTACGAAGTTCCAACAGCACCAAAAATACAGGGAAATTGCCAGGGATCTTGGTTTACCTCGGAAAACAGTTCGCAGTGTTGTAAAGTGATTTCTGGAAAGTGGAAGCACAGAAAATCGCCAAAGAACTGGACGCCGTCGATCGCTGACTGCACGGGATACTCGTCAACTTTAAAGTTAGTAAAAAACAGTCGGATTTCTCCTTTGTCGGAAATCACCTCAAGGTTTAATCAGAATAGGATCAGAACTGTCTCCGAGCGTACAATTCAAAGAAAATTATTCCAAAATAATTATCATAGACGTGTCGTTCGAAAGAAAATCCGTATTAGAGATGTGAATGTGAGAAATCGCCTCGCTTGGCCCAGAGGAAAACTTTGAAAGAGAATTAATGAAGCATGGAGCAGAGTCATCTTCAGTGATGAATGTAAAATGGTTATTGGAGATAACAACCGTGTGTATGTGTGGAGAAGGCCAGGCGAAGAGTACACCCCTCAGTGTTTGAGTCCTGGGTGTCATGCACATCTTTCTTTGATGGTCTGGGGCTGCGTAACTTGGCATGGTGTTGGAACTGTTGTAGAAGGTAACATAAATGCTCAGAAATACATAGATAGTCTTGATTCCGAGTTGTGGTCTGTTATTGCATTTCCCGATTGAAAATAATAGTTTTCAAGATGACAAGGCGCCTGTGCACATAGCCCGTATAGTAGCAGGTTATAAACAAAGAAATGTCATAAATGGCATTTTGTGGCCAGCACAGTCTCCAGATGCCAATATTATAGAGAACTGTTGGCTTCTGCTGAAAATCCGACTGCGACAACGTATTGTTTGCATCATTACCCATGAGGACATGGAGCGAGAGATCCGACGCGCGTGGGAAAACATACCTGTGAACTATGTCAGAAACCTGTATTTGTCTATCCCATGTCGTCTGACGAAAACATATGTGAACTATATCAGAAACCTGTATTTGTCTATCCCATGTCGTCTGACGAAAACATATGTGAACTATATCAGAAACCTGTATTTGTCTATCCCATGTCGTCTGAAGAAAACATATGTGAACTATATCAGAAACCTGTATTTGTCTATCCCATGTCGTCTGACGAAAACATATGTGAACTATATCAGAAACCTGTATTTGTCTATCCCATGTCGTCTGAAGAAAACATACCTGTGAACTATATCAGAAACCTGTATTTGTCTATCCCACGTCGTCTGAGGAAAACATACCTGTGAACTATATCAGAAAACCTGTATTTGTCTATCCCACGTCGTCTGAGGAAAACATACCTGTGAACTATATCAGAAACCTGTATTTGTCTATCCCACGTCGTCTGACGAAAACATATGTGAACTATGTCAGAAACCTGTATTTGTCCATCCCATCGTCTGAAGAAAACATACCTGTGAACTATATCAGAAACCTGTATTTGTCTATCCCATGTCGTCTGACGAAAACATATGTGAACTATATCAGAAACCTGTATTTGTCTATCCCACGTCGTCTGAAGAAAACATATACCTGTGAACTATATCAGAAACCTGTATTTGTCTATCCCACGTCGTCTGAAGAAAACATACCTGTGAACTATATCAGAAACCTGTATTTGTCTATCCCACGTCGTCTGAGGAAAACATACCTGTGAACTATATCAGAAACCTGTATTTGTCTATCCCACGTCGTCTGAAGAAAACATACCTGTGAACTATATCAGAAACCTGTATTTGTCTATCCCACGTCGTCTGAGGAAAACATACCCAGAACTATATCAGAAACCTGTATTTGTCTATCCCACGTCGTCTGACGAAAACATATGTGAACTATGTCAGAAACCTGTATTTGTCCATCCCACGTCGTCTGAAGAAAACATACCTGTGAACTATATCAGAAACCTGTATTTGTCTATCCCATGTCGTCTGACGAAAACATATGTGAACTATATCAGAAACCTGTATTTGTCTATCCCACGTCGTCTCTGAAGAAAACATACCTGTGAACTATATCAGAAACCTGTATTTGTCTATCCTACGTCGTCTGAGGAAAACATACCTGTGAACTATATCAGAAACCTGTATTTGTCTATCCCACGTCGTCTGACGAAACATATGTGAACTATATCAGAAACCTGTATTTGTCTATCCCACGTCGTCTGAAGAAAACATACCTGTGAACTATATCAGAAACCTGTATTTGTCTATCCCATGTCGTCTGGCGAAACATATGTGAACTATATCAGAAACCTGTATTTGTCTATCCCACGTCGTCTGACGAAAACATACCTGTGAACTATATCAGAAACCTGTATTTGTCTATCCCACGTCGTCTGACGAAAACATATGTGAACTATATCAGAAACCTGTATTTGTCTATCCCCCGTCGTCTGACGAAAACATACCTAGGAACTATATCAGAAACCTGTATTTGTCTATCCCATGTCGTCTGACGAAAACATACCTGTGAACTATATCAGAAACCTGTATTTGTCTATCCCACGTCGTCTGACGAAAACATATGTGAACTATATCAGAAACCTGTATTTGTCTATCCCCCTGTATTTGTCTATCCCATGTCGTCTGACGAAAACATATGTGAACTATATCAGAAACCTGTATTTGTCTATCCCATGTCGTCTGACGAAAACATATGTGAACTATATCAGAAACCTGTATTTGTCTATCCCACGTCGTCTGACGAAAACATATGTGAACTATATCAGAAACCTGTATTTGTCTATCCCATGTCGTCTGACGAAAACATATGTGAACTATATCAGAAACCTGTATTTGTCTATCCACCTGTATTTGTCTATCCCACGTCGTCTGACGAAAACATACCTGTGAACTATATCAGAAACCTGTATTTGTCTATCCCATGTCGTCTGACGAAAACATACCTGTGAACTATATCAGAAACCTGTATTTGTCTATCCCATGTCGTCTGACGAAAACATACCTGTGAACTATATCAGAAACCTGTATTTGTCTATCCCACGTCGTCTGACGAAAACATACCTGTGAACTATATCAGAAACCTGTATTTGTCCATCCCACGTCGTCTGACGAAAACATACCTGTGAACTATATCAGAAACCTGTATTTGTCTATCCCATGTCGTCTGACGAAAACATACCTGTGAACTATATCAGAAACCTGTATTTGTCTATCCCACGTCGTCTGACGAAAACATATGTGAACTATATCAGAAACCTGTATTTGTCTATCCCATGTCGTCTGAAGAAAACATATGTGAACTATATCAGAAACCTGTATTTGTCTATCCACCTGTATTTGTCTATCCCATGTCGTCTGACGAAAACATACCTGTGAACTATATCAGAAACCTGTATTTGTCTATCCCACGTCGTCTGAGGAAAACATACCTGTGAACTATATCAGAAACCTGTATTTGTCTATCCCACGTCGTCTGACGAAAACATATGTGAACTATATCAGAAACCTGTATTTGTCTATCCCACGTCGTCTGAGGAAAACATACCTGTGAACTATATCAGAAACCTGTATTTGTCTATCCCACGTCGTCTGAGGAAAACATACCTGTGAACTATATCAGAAACCTGTATTTGTCTATCCCACGTCGTCTGACGAAAACATACCTGTGAACTATATCAGAAACCTGTATTTGTCTATCCCATGTCGTCTGACGAAAACATATGTGAACTATATCAGAAACCTGTATTTGTCTATCCCCGTCGTCTGACGAAAACATACCTGTGAACTATATCAGAAACCTGTATTTGTCTATCCCACGTCGTCTGACGAAAACATACCTGTGAACTATATCAGAAACCTGTATTTGTCTATCCCATGTCGTCTGACGAAAACATACCTGTGAACTATATCAGAAACCTGTATTTGTCTATCCACCTGTATTTGTCTATCCCATGTCGTCTGACGAAAACATACCTGTGAACTATATCAGAAACCTGTATTTGTCTATCCCACGTCGTCTGACGAAAACATATGTGAACTATATCAGAAACCTGTATTTGTCTATCCCATGTCGTCTGACGAAAACATATGTGAACTATATCAGAAACCTGTATTTGTCTATCCCATGTCGTCTGACGAAAACATATGTGAACTATATCAGAAACCTGTATTTGTCTATCCACCTGTATTTGTCTATCCCATGTCGTCTGACGAAAACATACCTGTGAACTATATCAGAAACCTGTATTTGTCTATCCCACGTCGTCTGACGAAAACATATGTGAACTATATCAGAAACCTGTATTTGTCCATCCCACGTCGTCTGACGAAAACATACCTGTGAACTATATCAGAAACCTGTATTTGTCTATCCCACGTCGTCTGACGAAACATACCTGTGAACTATATCAGAAACCTGTATTTGTCCATCCCACGTCGTCTGACGAAAACATACCTGTGAACTATATCAGAAACCTGTATTTGTCTATCCCACGTCAGTCTGACGAAAACATACCTGTGAACTATA